TTGGGGCTGCAGGATGCTCGCGCTGCTGCTGCTGCTGCTGCTGCCGCCGGGGCCCGCGCACGCCTCGGAGATCACCTTCGAGTTGCCCGACAACGCCAAGCAGTGCTTCTACGAGGACATCGCGCAGGGAACCAAGTGCACCCTCGAGTTCCAGGTAGCGCGGGCCTGGCAGCCCCCGGGCCCCGCTCCCCCCGGGTCCCGCTCCTCCCGGACCCCGCTCGCGGCCCTGGGGACGGCTGCCACCCGCGGGCTGCCGCGCCGCGGTCCGTGATTCTCCGCCCCGTGGTGGTCCCCAGGATCACTGCCACACCATACGTGCATTACTGAAAGGCTTCCTCTAGTGACATTTCTTGCCATTCTCTGTGCCCTTTGTGTGAAGTGCTGTTGAACATTTCTCTTAAGATTGTTCTTTCAAAAATTATTCCGACTCTGTAGTGCCCAGTGTCAACCCCCACTGTGAAATCCACACCTCCACTTTAATCGGATTTAAAGTGCTGCCAGTGTCTGCCCACTTGCTTTTCAGTTTTCCAGTGATACCAGGACAATTGTTTAAGGAGGTCCGTGTCATTGAAGAGCTGCGTTAGAGGCCGAAGGACCAGCCAAGGTGGTATAGAAAAAATTCTCTGGAAATGAGAAGCCCCTTCAGATCTTTGGGATTAGATAAACAAACAAAAAGCAAACAAAAGCTTGAGCAGAATTCGTTTCTTTATTTGGCTAGATCCATCTTTACTTTGTTTCAGTTTTCGTGAGCAGCTATTATGCACTAGGTACTGGTAACACCGAAGTGATTAAAATAGGGTCGCTGCCATCATCGGTCAGGATGTTGCCCCTCCCATGTTGTCCTTTTTTTTTTAAGTTTTTGCCATAGAGAGAGAAAGAGAGACAGGGAGGAAAAGTGAGAAATCACCAGCAGGAGGGATGGCCATACCTTCTTCATTCTTTCTTTGTTTTGGGCATGCACCCACATGTGCCAGGTGTGATTTTAAAAACTCCAGAGAGGGACTCGGACTACCTTGGACCATGTGGGAGTCCAGCGCCTTAACCACCACACCACCTGCTGGCCCCATTTTTGCCCTTCTTAATTAGTACCTGCTCATTCATTAAAACTGCGTTAGGAGCAGAACTAGCATCTTGTGTTGTGAGAGAGGTTCCCCACAATGGGCCTGGCCATGCAGTCCTTTTTCTCTAATTCTCCATCCTGTCAGGATCCTGGGCATGCGAATGTGCTCATGCCTGGTGTGTAAACCTCCAAAGCAAGGATTCAGTTCCTCGTGTTCAGTTCCTCGTCAGCCACGTTGCTTCGGCTTCCTCTGCACAGTGCTTAGTGCTGCGCCACAGGTTGGCCGGGTTTTAGTTTTTGCAGAGTGTGGGAGGACATCAGAGGGCTGTAAACAGCCCCTGACGTGACCCAAAGTGTTCTTAGTAACGGCATGGAAAATAGCTGGTGCTAATTGAGAGGGTGTGGTAAGGCCTCGCAGATGGCTGTGAACAGAGACGGGTTATTAGGAGGCCTTTATGGTGGTCTGGACAAAGGATGCACTAGGCTAGTGGGGGCATTGAAAGGACTGAGGAGACTGTAGTAGATAAAATTAACAACTCGGTGACGATTTGGAGTAGTGAGGAATAGAAGGGAGGCTAAGTATGAGCCTTAGACCTGCTTAACTTCACAGATGAGGGCCAAGGGACAGCAAAGAAGATAGCAGGAACTTTAATACAAGTGTAAGCCTGAATATCCTTTGTGTTCAATAAACATTCCTTCAATTCATAAATAAGCAAACAGAGTGCTTGGTGCTCAGAATACTACAATGGCTAAAAAAAATTAGCATCTGTTATGCGGAGACCATAAGTTAAGTATTGCAGGTATGTTAGTTATTCCTTGGGAAAATTTGATAGAAAATAATAGTTCATAATTCTTTTTTACTGACAAAACGGAGGTTTAGATTAGTTAAGAACAAGGTCACCAAACCCAGAAACTTGAAAATCAGGATGCAATCCTAAGTTAAATTCTGACTACTGTATTATACTTGTAAATAAAACCGGCCTGGACATTACGGACACACATTTTCATATACTGTTAGATGCGACGTTAAAGTACCTAGTGCATATACACATGTATTGCCAGCAGAGCACAGAAGGGGCCGACGTTTGAGCTGAGTCTGGAAGGATAAGCAGGAGATGCTCTGTGGGGTGATGGAAGAAGGAAGAAAGGCCTTGGCAGACGTGTTTGTGAGAGGTTTAGCCTGAGCTCCTTTGCTGAAGTTTTTCAAGGGCCCTGAAATACTCCGAGTGATGATAGTTTTTCTTTGTAATTGTGGATCCAAAGGTTTTCCGGGTGGTTTGTACCAGTTTGTAACATTGTTTATTGATAATAGAAAAATTGACCTGCACCTGATCTTGGTGAACTCCCCAGTAACTGCTGTTGAGACTGGTTATATAGCAGGAATATGCCAATGTAACCATCAAAATACTGAAAACGCACAAAACCACTTGGGTTTTAGGATGTTCTTTGCATGCTAGGTGTTCGTAATGTGAGAGATGTGTCTGGCCACACACCTCAGAGGGGCGATAAAGGTGCCACACCTCTGGATGTGAGACAGCCTTTGGCTGTGGTGGCTTGCATTGCGTTCTTCCCGTAATAAACTGTAGAGTGTAAGCATTGTCATTTCAGATCTCGTGATTGTTTAGCAAACAGCTGCCACTGTCAGGGCAGGTGGAAAGCAAATACTTGTTCACAAAACTTCTGGTAGTCTGCTCTTTTAAAGAGTTCAGGAAGAGCAAGGATGTGAGTACAGGAGGTGCTAAGCTTACCTGGAGGAGATACAGGGGAATTGTGTGCCATTGTTAATAGGTTCAGATTTTTCTGTAGGCTGCCTGGAATGATCAAAAGGTTTTAAATAAGCGCTTGGTAGGGGTTGGGGTGGGAGGGAAAGTTTGGCCTCCTCTGCTCCCACTGGCATCTGGTGGACAGATCAGAGATGTTGCTGAACCTGCAGCAAGGCACAGGCCGCACAGCCCTCCAGTCCCAGGTGGGGGGTGTGTGGAGGTCCAGAAGCCCTGGGTGAGAGGAAGGGGGAGGGCTGTGGGAAGGCCCTTTAGGAATGGCACTAGGTAGCCCTATCTCAATCGGGTGAGAAGTGAAAGGGACAGCATGGGTTGGAGAGGCGATAAGAGCAGTTGATCTTTGGCCAGGTGGGGACACTGATCTTGGAATGATCCCCAGTTTTGTTTGTAGGTAACTAAATAGGTTTAAGTGAAATAGATTATCTGTCTTAAAAGTCTGATAGAGGGGACCAGCAGTTAGCATAACGGCTGTGTCGCTGGACTCTCATGTAGTCGACCTTGGTTCGAATCCCGGACCTGGTGGCTTAACCTCAGGCTGGGCGCATATGTGTGTGTGCCCCAGATACTGAGAGAAGAATGGAGGAGGAGGGATTGTAGCATGGCCATTCCCCCAGGGGATGATTTCTCGCTTTCTGTCTGTCTCTCTCTCTGTGTCTTTCTGGCAAGTGCATGTGCCCTATAGCCAAAAACCTCTCCACACCAAAAAAAGTTTGGTAGAGGAGAAGTGGGATAATGATCATTCTGGCTCTATTCCATTTGTGTATATGTATTTGATTATTCAGAATAGAATGATCAAGGATGAATATTTGGGCATATAAAAAATGAAATCATTATTTTCACCTAGAGGAAAGGTTATTGACTTTTTGGGGGAAGGGAGTTGATAAAACACTTTTTTCTTTTTTTTTTGGAGAGGTTCCTCCCCTCCCCCCCCATAGGGCGCGTGCGCTCACCAGACAGAGACATAGAGACAGAAAGCGAGAAATCACCCCCCAGGGGGGATAGTCACACCGCAATCCCTTCTCCTCCATTCTCCTCTCGGGATCTTGGGCACGCACGCACACGCACCCGGCGTGAGTTTTCAGCCACCGGGTCCGGGACGCGAACCGCGGTCGACTACGCGGGAGTCCAGCGACATAGCCATCACAATAACTGCTAGTTCCCAAAACACTTTTTTCTTACATCAAAACCTTTTGTCCACATATTAGCACTTATGTATTTTTCCTGTTCTAAGTCCATAACTATATTTCATTTAATTATCAAAATGACCTTGTAACATAGTTGTTAGTCATCACCTCTCTTAAATGATAAAAGGTCACATAAGTAACAGATCCTTCTTTGAATTCCAAAGTTTGACCTCTCTAATCAACTGATTTATTACGTTGTTAACCAGCCTTACATATTATGCTAACCCAGGGGGTTCAGACTTGAAGATAACAACCTGGTGGTTAAGAACCCTCAAACCCACAGTCTCCTGCTCAGCACTTTCTTTCTTAAGATGCCCTCTTTCTCCATCTCTTCTGTCTCCCCTCTCTCTCTCCTTTCTGCTCATTTGTTTCTCATGTAAGAAGACCTTTCTCTTTAATCCTTTCTTCATTTCATCTTTAATTCTATCCAGTTACCTCAGGGGGAAAAAATCTGTTTTCTCAAATAACCAAATTCCACATTGCAACTACTTAAGCCTAAGTCCTGGAAAATCACTCTAGCTCTCTTGAACACCCCACCTACCCCTTGCCCTTCCTCTCTGTGTGCCTGCTGTTAGACACAGACTTTCCAGGTAAAAAGGCTTATTTCCTTTTGTATGGATCTATTTTGTTTTTGCTTTAATTGCAAGCATTTAAACATCTTAAACACCATTGTTATTCAATTATGCTTCTCTTGGGAACAGGGTTGTAAAACACTTAGAAGAGCCCATAAGTTATTTTATTATAATGCTGTGTAAAATGTACCACATTTCATATAACTGACTAGAGAAGGTAAGAAAAACAATCTGTTTGTAATTTTGGGAAATGAGCTTCTGTTCTATGAAAGGCATGTATGTGGGGTGTTATGCAGAGGACGGACCTACCTTTCTGCATCACTACACTGTGTGTTTGCTTGGATAATACGAAGAGGAAACAGGGTGATAAAATTTTTAGAAGGAAAATTTTACATGGCAGTAAGTTTAGGGCTTAAGAATATGACTTTGGACTTCAAAGTCTGCCTCTGCTGCTTACTAATAAGTAATCTTGAAGAAGTTACTTATTTCAACTTCATTTTCTCAGTCAGCCATATGAAACAGTGAGACCCTATTGTTTGATTCAAAGTGGATGAATATAGAGGATTTAGTGTTAAGTGAAATGAACCAGGCTTTGAAAGATACACATTGTATAGCCCCATTCAATATATACTGAATGTCTGCTCTCTATGGCAGATGGAAAGATCCGAAGATTTGATAGTAGAGAGGATAAGTGTAGATATCAGAGACTGTAAGGCAGTAAGGGAGGGGAGTGGGTGATAGAAGAAGAGTGGGTGGGAAGGGCACCTGCCTTCTCTGTGTGAAAAAAAACCCCAAAAAACAGAAAAACTAGTTTTTGCTAAATAACTAAAATTTAATATATGCACACACATATATGTGTATCTCTTGTAGGACTGATAGGAGAATGAAATGATATAATAGGTATCCCTTAACTAGCACAGGTGACTGACTAGCTCAGGGCGAGGAACAGCGCCTCTCTCCTGTCAGGATACTTGTTCAGTTTCTGTAAAACTTTGAATGGGAAGTCTGCCTCCTCATGTAACACTGTCTATTAAAGTAAGAGTTCTCTACCTGTAACCACATGGCCATTTTTACAGAAAACTTGGGCAGTTTCTCAAACTTGTTTGTCGCAGTGATCTCTTACATATTTATTTTTTAATTTCTTACAGGTGATTACTGGTGGTCACTATGATGTAGATTGTCGATTAGAAGACCCTGATGGTAAAGTGTTGTACAAAGAGATGAAGAAACAGTATGATAGTTTTACCTTCACAGCCTCCAAAAATGGGACATACAAATTTTGCTTCAGCAATGAATTTTCTACTTTCACCCATAAAACCGTGTATTTTGATTTTCAAGTTGGAGAAGATCCACCTTTATTTCCTAGTGAGAACCGAGTCAGCGCTCTTACCCAGGTAAGTATAAAGTTAGCAGGATAATGGCAGTATATTTAAGGGAAGGAAATTTTACTTCTTAAAGTGGACTAGGCCTTTCACAGAGGACTTCACACTGTGTAGTGAAAATCAATATTAAGAGATTTATGAACATGTTAAGTGTGAATATAAAAAGAAGCATTGACATGGAACGAAGGTCACAGGTCAGCAGCAAGAGGAGTGTTAGGAAGGCCACACAGTGCTGCGGCATTCTGAGGCATTGTCTGTAACCCATGAAGGACTGTTGTTCCCATACCTGAGTAGCTTGGTGTAACTGGAAGCAAGTTTGTATATAAAGGCACCATGTGGTAGTCATAATTACCAGTCCTGTTACCAGCACTGCTGTTACAGTGACTTTCACTGTAACTTAAGGTAAAGTATTACGTTTTATGATAAGTTATCTAACAATGGTAGACGGTTGTTTTATTTCTACATCAACTATAGTGTTAGTTTAGACTATTATCTGAAAGATACCGAAACAGGCATTAGAAGGAATTACTTACATACCACCTATTTATTGAGACCTTAAACTGGGGCCAGCAGGTGGCATGGAGGTTAAGGCAGCTGGATCCCACATGGTGATTTCGCAGTTTGAGTCCCAGACCTGACAGCCTGAAAATCATGCTGACCATGTGTGCATGTGTGCCCCAGATCCTGAGAGGACAAAACAAAACCATAAAGTGTCATGTTAGTGTTCCCAGTTTCCATTGACTCTTGGCCAAAGCCATGGAGAGAGACATGCAGTTTTAACAATAAGACCCTTAACTCAAAAACCTAAGCACAGTAAGGATTAGCAAGATGTACACAAATGCTCTTGTTTTAGGAAATGTTTTCTTTTTCTTAAGATCTTGGTTAAAAGGCACTGTGTTTAGTGAAATGATTTTTCTTTGGGAACATTGTTTATAACTTACATTCATTACTTTGTGAATTTTGGTAGCTCGCTACCAAAACGTAAATGGGTAAACATGGGAAATGAGTAGTAATAACATGGTTAGTACCACTCAGACTCCTTTTCTCATAGCACACATGTTGTATAGCAAGAAATCTCTTAAAAAAAAAAGAAGAAACTTGCCAGCCAGTAAATTCAAAATAAAATAATCAACTAGAATATGAAGGATAAATGGTAACTTTACTAATATTACCATTTGTCTCCATTAACCCACACCATTTGGGTACTAAGTGTGATTTTCAGGCTGCCAGATCGAGCACTAGAACGACAGAATCGGCTGTGTGGGATCAAGCACCTTTACCACCATGTCACCTACTGACTTGGCCTTCAGGGGGGTTTTTGAGGTTTTTTTTTTTTTTTCTATAAGGTACATGTGCTTGCCAGAGATACAGAGACATACAAAGCGAGAAATATCCCCCGGTGGGAATGGTCACGCCACAGTTCCTTCTCTTCCATTCTCCTCTTGGGATTTTGGGCACACAGTTACATGCACCCAGCATGAGTTTCAAGATGCCGGGTCCGAGACTTGAACCACAGTCAACCCTGTGGGAGTCCAGCATCTTCTTGACCACTATGTAACCTGCTGCCCCTGTACCCCCCCCTCCTTCACGGAGACTTTTTGGAGAGGTTTTTGCGATAGGGCGCGTGTGCTCGCCAGATAGACAGAGAAAGACAGACAGAAAGCGAGAAATCGCCACCCAGGGGGGATAACCATTATGTCAACTGCTGGTCCCTAAAGTAACTCTTTTATTTATTTATTTATTTATTTTTATTTTTTGGAGAGGTTTTTGCTATAGGGCGTGTGCGCTTGCTAGAAAGACAGAGACAGACAGAGAGACAGAAAGCAAGAAATCACCCCCCGGGGGGATGGCCACGCCGCAATCCCTTCTCCTCCATTCTCCTCTTGGGATCTTGGGCACACACGCACATGTGCCTGGTGTGAGTTTAAGCCACCGGGTCCAGGACTCAAACCATGGTCGATTACATGGGAGTTCAGCGACATAGCCGTTATGCTATAACTGCTGGTCTCATAAAGTAACTTTAAAAAAAAAAAAATTTGTCAAAGCTCATGTATGTGAGAGAAAGAACGGAAGTGTATCATTTTCCACTGGAAATGGTCATGACAGAGTCCTTTCTCCATTTCTCCCTCCTATCAGAATTTTAGGCATGCATACACACGTGCCTAGCATGCTTCTCAAGCCAGGTCTCAGACTGTGTAGGTGGCCATGTGGGGATCTAACCACCTTAACCACCATGCAATGGGCCAACCCTAAATATACCTTTAATTGAGTATTTATATAATTATTCATTTTATACTTTGGTAGAATATTATTAAATATTTATATTATTTCCTAATTAAAGTTAAAATAAACACAGGTTTGTTTTTAATATTCTTTTTTTTTTGGAGAGGTTTTTGCTATAGGGCGCGTGCATTTGCCAGAAAGACAGAGAGAGACAGAGAGACAGAAAGCGAGAAATCACCCCCCCCCCAGAGTGGATGGCCACGCTGCAATCCTTCTCCTCCATTCTCCTCTCGGGATCTTGGGCACGTATGCACACACACCCGGTGTTTTTAATATTCTTAATACAGTCATGCTCCACGTGACAGTGGGGATATGTTCTGAGAAATTGGTCGTTAGGCAATTTTGTCATATGAATATCACAGAGATGCCCGCACAGATGTTGATGGTCTGGTCTACTGCATGTCTGCACTGTGCAGTACAGCCTGCAGCTCCTGTGGACCTCACCATGCAGGTGGCCTGTTGACCTAAATGTGAGATAGCGCATGACTCTACCTGGCTTGTGATGTAAAATGATAGCAGAGCTTAGATTTCATCAGAAGGGTTAAGTTTTTGCAGTAGAAAAATACTAAACCCAGGTTTATAAAAAATTAGATACTTAACCTTTCTCTAATGGATTCTGTAATAAACATGTAAAAAAGCAAGATGTTATCAGATGAAGGCTACAAACTGATTACAAAGTGACAATGAAAATGACATCCTATTGGGGATATTTGTATTCTAGTTGACTGGCAGGGAGAAGACTTAATTGACAAATAGATAAATGTAAAAAAAAAAAGACATTTTTATTCTGATGTATTACTTTAAGAATTAGAAGTTAGCTAAGGATTTTGGTAAACATGTTAGGTCTGTTTTTAAAATAGTTCAAATAACTTTGAGTAACCACCTGTTTTTGTGTGTTTGGTTTATTTTTGTATCTATTTGGGCTTTCTTAATTGGTAAACTTACAGACCTGACATTTTCTTCCTCCCAATTCTTTGAGAACCAGGGCTTCAGATTCCGTAGCCACCAGCCTTAGCTGCTGAGTACTCCTGCTATTAGCTTAGTGTGCTGTCTGCCACCTTCCCCGGGCACGGCATGGACATCCCAGTTCGGGCCACAGCCATCTCGTGGATCTCTAGCTTTGTTAGATGTCCTCAGAGGAATCAGTAGAAGGGTTTCATTGCCAGGACAACTGGCATGAATGGATGGGTGGATGACAAGGTGGTAAAATGCTAATCACATTGAGAGTTAAGATCAAATTGGGAAAAAAAAGATGATTGTGCTAGATGGAGTGTACTAACACTGAAGTATTAAAAAACGTACTAACTGGGGACTGGCAGGTGGCATGGTGGTTGAGGCGCTGGACACTCCCACATGACTGACCACAGTTTGAGTCCCAGACCTGGTCCTGGTGGCTTGCTTTCTCACTCTGTGTGTGTGTGTGTGTTTGAAATGATTAAATGAATAAATAAAATGAAATCTTAAAAAAGCATACTAACTGAACATATTTTTGTTTAGATGGAATCTGCCTGCGTTTCAATTCACGAAGCTCTGAAGTCTGTCATCGATTATCAAACACATTTCCGCTTGAGAGAAGCTCAGGGCCGAAGCCGAGCAGAGGATCTAAATACACGAGTGGCCTATTGGTCAGTAGGGGAAGCCCTCATTCTTCTGGTGGTTAGCATAGGGCAGGTATTTCTTCTGAAAAGCTTTTTCTCAGATAAAAGAACCACTACAACTCGGGTTGGATCATAACTGCATTCTGAGAGTTGATGCACCATTGCCACTGTAATATTGCTGTCCTCTAATTAATTTAGGTACTGAAGGACTTAATATTGGCAACATTTTTAAGACCTTACCCATACACTTATTGGGCAGGATACACAATGCGTATCCCCACACTGTGGAAAGGACACCTTTTTTTTATTTGTAAAGGTGGAAAAACTTTGGAACTTATTTTGGGCTATTCATGTTAAATATTCAACACCAATGATCTACTCTTTTCTTGGTTGTTTATATTGACTCTTGGCACACTAAATTTTGGTATTTTGATTCATTTTAGCCATTTAAAAGTACTTTTATTATAGGTAGCTGATATTTTAAAAACCATAGATTTAATGTGTGTACATGCGTAATGGAGGAAGAAAATTGCCTTTTAATTGTTTATAGTGAATAAAGTTTTATTTTTAAAAAAAAATCAAATGTGATTAACTGTAGCTCAAGCCTATTCTGCACTGTTTAATTTTATGGAGGGGAAAAAATCTACCCATAGAAATGTGTTTAGTAACATGGATACAATTTTTAATTGATACATCACGATATAATTCATTTCTCACTAGTCTGGAAAATGTCAGGTGTGATTTTGTTTTGTTTTTGTTTTTGTTTATTCTATGATTTCTATCCAGCTGTGTCCTTTTTATATAAAGGCATTCTTACCATAGAAAACAGTTAAGTTTCAGTACCATAATAGAGTTTATACAGGCCTTAAAAATCAGACAATTACAACAGGTAGGATAATTGCAGAATAATTTAAGACAGCACAATGGGGGCAAATGAAATGGAAAAATTTTGTTTATCTGTACTGATTACATTTTCAGTCCTTTTACAAAGAAAAAAGGTGATGTGTTTTAACATTTTGTCTGATTCTTGCCCTTATGTGTCTTACTGTCTGTGAGTCTTTCCCATTTTAAATGGTTAACATTTGCACTATTAATATCACATAAGCGCTATACATTTTAGCCTCATGGGTATAATGCACTGAGAAGTTAGTTTCTTCTGGCTTTTTATTTTTTCTTGTCTTGCACATTTTATTTCTGCAGTCTCTAGTTAGCATCTCTAAAATTATTTTAAAATATAGAACATTGAGTATGTTTTCTATTTGATAATCTTCATTGATTGTACTTCATTTAATGAGAAATAGTGCATATTCTGTACACTATAGGGTTTAGACTGTATTTATATTTTCTAACTTGTGTAGATTGAGCTGATTGAAATAAGATTTTGTTCCAAGTCTTCTAGAAGAGAGTACAAGATGATGTAAAACTGTATAGATATTTAAAGCTTTTCTGCTCTTTAAAAAAAAAAAATTGCAAGTGTTTTTCTGCCATGCCTCCTTCCCCACCCAAAGGTGATCAATGCTGAACAAAGCTGTCATAGAGAAATTTTGATACACGATGCTGTGGAATACTGATCAGATAGCAGTTCTACTCACTTACCGTTACGGACCTGAAGTTAACTTTAATTCTAAGGTGTCTTAAAATACGTGTATACACTTCCCATGTGAGAGCAACGGGGATTCAGTTGTCGTGCTTGCCTATTTCACATGCCATGGTGCAGCAAGGGGAAAACATGTTTTCAACCCTTTAATTTTAAGATTTGTGAAGACTGAATGGCAGCCCTTTAAATAACATCTGTCTGTGGATTAAGAAGTAAAATTTCAGATTTTACAGATTTCTCTATTTGGGTTCTTGTACTGGAGTTGTCCTACAGCTACTCGAAGGGTCCCTTTACATTTAGATTTGAAGATTTTCAGCACTAATGTTAATGTGACTGATGAGCTTAAGCAGATGTGAAATGTCCTTTTCTGGCTAACTGCACTTCCTGTGTTCAGATACTTCTGCTGTGGTGGTACCGGGGCGGGTGTAGAGCTCGTGAGTTCGGCATAGGCAGGTAATGCGCTCATTTAATTTGTGCCTCTCAAAACTTCCTGATTTTGACTCTTACCACAAAGTGTATTTGAGTTATATTAAAATTTTTGCTATCCACAGTTACTGTTTTAGGAAATACTGTGAGCTTAGTCTAGTCTCTATGTAATCGGTTTAATTTTGATGGTTGTCTGTGTTCAAGTGAGTATGTATTAGACAATTTAGAGAGAGTGTATCTATCCAGACATAAATGCTAAGTAACATTTTTTTCTTCCTCCTACTGTATATTTTGTAGCTTATCTTTTTCTTTAGTCCTTCCATAACTTATTGCAGCAGTTTGAATTTCTCAAATATTTATGTTTGGGCAGACGGCTCAAAATGCATATTTAACATCATAGTTGTATATATTTTTAAAGGTAAAATAAATGATGGAAAGTGACTTGATATACAAGTTTATATCAGAATTCCAACTGTGTAAAGATACATTTTAAGACATTACTTTGCTAAAAATCTAAACATTCTTTTTTCTATTAAACAAATGGTTTGTGGTTTACAACTTCCATCCAGGCTTGATGATAACCAACTTTGAAAATAAAGTTGACTGAAAAGCAATTTTACTCTTCGAAAGATGTCATTTAAGTTCCTGTACTGTCCAGTTTTGTTTCAGTTTGTAAATGTATAACATTTTTATTAATAGTTAAATAGGACAATGCAGACTGTTTGACTTTTGTCTTCAAAAATTAAAAAGTTGATATATAAATAAAAGGATTTTCATTTACTTTTGAAAGAAAAAGAAATTTCTCTAAATTAATAGACATTGGTTCTAAGGGACTGTATTAATCAGTTTCTCATAGAATGTAAAAATCTTAAACTGATTTTACTTATTTCTGTCAGGATTTAAAATTTTCTAACGTTCCTTATAAATTTACAACTTGGAGTACAGTTTTGTAATGAGAGTGATTACTTATTTGATATTTCATTAAAACATATGGGCAGCAGGTGGCACTGTGGTTAAGGGGTTGGACTCCCACATTGGTCGACCACAATTGGAGTCTACACCCAGCAGCTTGAAACTCATGCTAGGCATATTTGCATGCATGCCCAAAAAATCCCAAGAGGAGAATGGAGGAGAAGGGATTATGGTTTGGCCATTCCCCCTGGGGTGTGATTTCTCACTTTCTCTCCTTGTCTCTCTGTCTCTCCGACAAGCACATGTGCCCTGTAGCAAAAATCTCTCTACCAAAAAAAGAAAAAGAAAAAAAAATCCAAGGAACTGGCCAAGAAAGAAGAAAAACACCACCTTTGCATTGCCTGATTTTTAACTTTCTCTGCATTCCTTATTGAAATTTTCTGTGGGTAAAAGTTAAGTCCATCACTTGCCCTAAAAAGCTCTTAATTTTTAAGTAAAATAACTTGAGGTTGTAGAGCACTCATTTGTCATTTTTAAAATTTCTCTTCAAAACACAGAGGGGACAGTCTGACAGTTCTACAAAACTAGCAGGAAAATAGCAGTAAATAACAGGTTAATATTTTATTGAATGCTTACTCTGTGCTAGGTGCTGTACTGAGTGTTTTGCTTGTATTGCCCCATGTCATCTTTGCAGTAATCTTATGAACTTATATATATAATTTTGCAGATGAGGAATTAAGAAATCTGTTCATATCACATAGTGATTAGCAGTATCTGAATATGAACCATAGCCGTCTGGAGCCGGAGCCCTCTTTTTCAACCACTGTTCAATATTGCCTTACAAAGGCAGATCTCCGAAGGCTTAGCTACCTAAATTTTATTATATATAGCTCAATAGCAGTTCAGTCATAGCCAGGTTCAAATCATGGTTATAAGATCTTGTACACGTGATTTTATTAACTATATTTCTGTTTCTTCATCTGCTACAAGGTAGTAGCATCTAGTGCAATGAGAATTAATAAAATGTGTTGTTTATAAAACACATGGGATCAGTACCCACCACATGAAAAGACTTGGTAACTATATTTTTGTCATTTGTTCAATTCTAGTCTCTTGGTCTTTCTTTAGCCCCTGTTGTTCTGTGGCTTCTAGTCATGTTGCTCTTACATGACACAAAGCAGTATATCATTCGCAAAGTATTCTGCTAGAAGTTTCTAAAATGAATATAACAGCCTGAGCTCCAGGAATATAACCTAATTGGTGGAGACAGAATAGCTAACTGTAGGGAACCAGCAGTTAGCGTAATGGCTGTCTCTGGACTCCCACGTAGTCGACTGCAGTTCGCGTCCCAGACCCGGTGGCTTAAAACTCACGCTGGGCGCGTGTGCGTGCGTGCCCAAGATCCCGAGAGGAGAATGGAGGAGAAGGGATTGCGGCGTGACCATCCCTGGGGGGTGATTTCTCGCTTTCTGTCTCTCTTGTCTGTCTGGCGAGCACACGCGCCCTATAGTGAAAACCTCTCCAAAAAAAAAAAAGAATAGCTAACTGTTTGAGCAGCTGATGTTACAGAAGTGATGGAGCAGAGTGGACTCTAAGGCCCAAGATACTCACAGGGTGCGAGGAAAGAAGAGACTATGTAAACCAAAGATGTCTTCCTTAATGAGTTTAATTTTGTCTCTCCGTGGAGTCACCCATGGTTGTGTGGTTCTGCCTGTAATGAGTAGTTTATCTCTAATCCAGGCATGGGGAGTATTATCCAGTTCTTGTTGCTGGAGGACAACATGTTTAACTTTGTTGACAATAAAGATGATTATTGATCTGAGTCCTTCATTATAGGTATTTCCAATTTTTGGAAGAAAATAGGGATTTTATTTTTCTATATACATTTCTTCATTTTATTCATGAGATATCATCATTAGGAATTAGATTCCTTCCTGAAATACAGAAATAGTATAAGTAATATTGGTCAGACATGATCTGTTTTTAGGGTTAGTATTAAAGGATTACTATTGCCTTTAAAAGACAATAACATAAGAATTTGATATACAGTGGTTCAAAGAAAAAAAATCCAACTATAATTCCACCACTTATTTGGTATATTTTTATGCCAACTGCCTGTCCAAGATATTTATATATATTTTTTAAGAAATTGGTAATAAGCTGTCTATAACAGATGTTCAAACTTTTCAGATTGAAATTTATGATACAGGATTTTCAACATGTACAATTTAAAGAGAAAATTATAAAGCATTCATTCATATAGAGTGCTCAGGTTAAGAAAGAAAATATTTACCCTATCTTGGAAATCTCTGTATCCTTTACTGAGTATCACTGAATCTTACCAGTGGAGATGACCAGTACCTGCTTGTAGTGACAGTAATTTCATTTGTGTTTTTACCAGTTATGAATACTAGTTCTCACACTTAAAAAAATTCCAAACCACCACAAACTGATGACTTTTATAAATATAAAATCATGCCCTCAAGGGTATTGGCAGTGTCAGATTGCCATCAGAGTTTCTGAATGCTCAGTCTCTGTATGATTTTCTATTAGCCGTTAACAAGAGTGGACTGATGAGTATGGTCTATGGACCACACACGGAGTAATACCGAAATCTGCATTCTACAAAAGCAGAAGTAAACATTGACAGAACTTTCTATAAGTATTCTGTATCATAACTAGAATATTGCATGTGCTTGTTTTGTGACACAACATTGAGAGGCATTCGTTTTCCATATGGTTGTAGTTTGCACCATTATGAGTTTTCGACTGTGGTAGAATTTGGATTGTTCCAAATTATTTTGCTATTATAAACAAAGCCACTGGGAACATCCGGTATGTATGTCCTATTAACACTGTGTATGATCTCAGGAGTATAATCGGTGGGTCATCATGTATGCATATCTTCAGTTTTACTAGGTGATATCTAACTTTTCCAAAGTAATTCTTTTAGTTTATTGTTTTCACTGCAGTGTTAGAAGGTACCATATTTGCTTTTGTAAGACTAAAACTTTTGAAAATCTGGCTTTAATGGTACCTAATGGTCACTGTTAATTTGCATTTCCATGCACTTAAATTTTATTTAACATTTAAATTTTCTCTTTTTGAAGTCTCTATACAATTTTTTATTTTATTTTATTTTACTTTTTTTTTTTTTTTTGCTAGAGGACCCATGCACTTACCAGAGGAAGATGTGAATGGTCATGCCACAGTCCCTTTTCCATCTCCCTTCTGGGAATTTGGGCATGATGCACATGCATCCAGCTTGTTTACTCAGGTTTCCAGGTCTGGGACTTCAACTGTGAGGTTGGCCATGTGGGGTTTCTCTGCCTTAATCGCCAGGCCACAGAGCTGGCCTTCATTTGCCCATTTTCAAAAATTTGACTATTTAACATTTGTTTATTTTTGGGGGGAGAGATTTTTGCTGTAGGATGCGTGCACTCGCCAGAAAGAGACAGAAAGTGAGAAATCACTCCCCAGGGGAGATGGCCACGCTGCAACCCCTTCTCTTCCATTCTCTTCTTGGGATATTGGGCACGTACGCACACACACCTAGCATGAGTTTAAGCCACTGGGTCCAGGACTTGAACCATGGTCAACTACATGGGAGTCCAGCGACATAGCCATTACGCTAACTGCTGGTCTTAGACTATTTAACTTTTTGATTGAAGGATTCCTTTATATATTAAGGATCTTAATCTGTTGGTTATAACTGGTTCACATATTTCACAGTTAGTGTTTATCTTTTTGCTCCTGGTAAAGTATATGTCATTCATTTTCTCTGTTGGTATTTTGTGTTTTGTTTATAAAAATCATCCACTCTTCGGAAGTTGTAAATATCTTCTGTACTACATTCTAAAATATGTATAATTTTGTTTTCTGCATAAATTGAATTTAATGTATAGTTAAGATAGGTAACTAGGTTTGTTTTTTTTTTGTTTGTTTGTTTTTTCTTTTTTGCAACAGGGCATCTTTCATTTCTTGAAAAGTCATCGTTTTCTAGTGATTGAACATGACTCTTCTGTTATCTCTGCCCATATTTATCTGAGTCTGTATCTGGGTTCATTTGTTTTATTCCATTGGTTAGTTTGT